TTCCTTATGGCATTTCAGGAAGATTAAGTGAAAGGATGATGAAGAAATGTGTCCTAAAATAGATAGAATAAAACAATCTTTATGTAATTAGCAATAACAGCTACATCGTGTTTCACATTTTAATCCCTTAGGGTTTGCACTAATAGCTTTCTTTTTTCATATTTTTAGTAATGGTGGTAATTCATCAGAAGGAAAAAATGATTCAAAAGTTAGTTGTTCATTCAATTTTATGTTTAACACAAAAAAAAATAAATATATACGTGTTCTTTTTTAGATAATGGATTTAATTAATGAACAAAATGTTGAATGGACATCACTTGTACAACGACAGCTAACTGAAATGAATACTTTACGACGACAACATACAAAAGAACAATGTGAAATGTTACGTCTTTTACTTGATGAAACACAAAAAAACCAAATGAAAGAATTAACTGAAAGACAATTAAAGTAAAAGAAAATGAAAAAAAATTTATTTTCTATTTTACAAAAAAAAATCATAAATGAATTTTTTTCTTTTGTTTTTTAGAGAAAAAAAAGAACTTGAAATAAGTCAAGTACGACAAAATATTGAAGATAGTAAACGACTTGGTTCAGAAAAAAATATTAGAAATAAATCAGACTTAGATCGTCGTGTACGTGAATTAAAATCGAATAATACTAAAAAATTCGTAGAAGAACGTAAAAGACAAACTTTGAAACATGAACGTGACACAGGAAATTTAATTAAATTACATGAAACACAAAAAACAACACTCCTAACTGAAATTGATAAAGTATGTATCCACATTGTGTCTTATGAGTTTTTATTATTATATTAAAAATCATAATAGACAAAAAAAGGAAATTTAATTTTCTTCATTTTCAAAATAGAATATATTTGTTGATTAAATTTACAGTATAGGAAATAAAACTAATTTACAAGAATAGATTTAATTAAAAGTAAAAGACAATAGTTTTGTTGAGAATATTAAACAAGCGTTTCTTCTCTTGTATTTCATAATTTTAAATTACAAAAGTTTTTGCATATAATCCAAATCATTTTGAATATTTCAAAAAAGTTTTTCAGCTTAAAACTCTGCAAACTAAACATATACTAATGTAGTTATACTGATTAAAGTTCCAATTTTGTGAGAATTTAATTAATTAACAGAAGTCTTTAATTACACCCGATGCATCATTGTTCTCCGAGAGGTTTTCTTACAGTAGAAGAAGATTTAATCGATTTTCTTATAAGACAATTTCTTCATTTGATTTCCGAATAATTAACAATCTTGATAAGAAACAATTGACCAATTGTCTAAGCTCACTTGTCACTGATAATGTCTTTACTTTTTTTTATGTATTTATGCACATTGTTATCAGCATGACTATTATAAATAGTTGGTTGTTTTTCAAATAATAAAATCCTTTCATTTGACTTTGATTTCTTACAAGAATTATTTTTCTGAATAAGATCTTTTAGCAAAACCTGTGAAAATCGACTTTTTGGAGATCGTTTTAAGTCCTGAAATAAAATTTTTTGTTTTAATATCATCTAGCGATTTTGAAGAGGAATTAGTTTTGTATATTCGTATTTCGTCATATTGCTAGTGTCAGTTTTTTACTGATAACTCTTCTGAACAAAGATCTATCTCGAGATACAACTGATAAATATAATTCATTATTTTAATTATAGATGCTTGAATATAGTCTCAATTATCAAGATGAAACACCCATGGCTCGATTTCCTTCATCATCTGTCTAACGAAAAAAAAAAACTAGTCAAAATAATCAATCCTTAAGTTTTCTCTTGATTGTTGTACCATCTTCCACTGATATATCTAATTTTGTTTGTACAGTATTGCTTTTGATTTTATTTTTCTCGTTTATTCTTCGGTGATTTTTATCTTCGGTGTTGTGTTCTTATTTTTTTTGTTTTTTTCTTTCTTCGAACAGTGTGTTTGTATGTATAAGCATATATATATATATTTCTATACATTGGATGGTAGACTATTACTGACAATTGTGAGCTGCAAAAAAAATCAAAATAGTCATTTTTACAGTCAAACACTATTGGTCTCAATTTTCTTTTCAATGTGCCTCTATTTTTTCTCTTTTAATTCTAGTCTATCATTGAAAAGTCTCATTATTGCAATATACCAGGTGAAAATGAATGAAACCTGTCAAACGTGTATGTTTTGCATTCCTTTCAATCTTAATATCGAGTTTTTAATAGCACAAATCTGGACAAGTATCATGTTTTGAAAGTTATTGTTCTGTGTTTCATATATCGTGTGTATGGAATGCAATCGTTCATATTTATACGATCAGTATTGTATGTATATGTCGATGAAGTTTTTGTTTTCTGTTTTCTTTTTTCTTGTTTTTTGTTTGTCATTCTTCTCTCCTTTTCTCTCAATCCTATCTTTTCAATAAAATTTTTATGATTAGAAAACTCAACGAAAAGTCTTTATATAATGAAAAACAAGAGTTTTAGATGATATATTAAAAACTTAATGTTTCTCAATTTTCGTACACCACAAGCGACTTTTTATGAGGTGATGGATAAAAAATAAGAAAATAAAACAAAAAAAAAAACCAATATACAATTTCATATTTCTAGATGGATAGTAAATTTTCTCGTTTACAAAATTTTGTTAATGAATCAAAAACTGGTCAGTCACATTCAACCAATAATAAAGATGACAATGAACAAACATCATCACGAAATCTATTTCAAATAAATATAAGTCGTTTACAAAATTTTTTTAATAAACATTCGAATTTATCTAATGATGGTTCATCATCAAATACAGATGATATACAAGTATTATTACAAAAAGGTGATAATGATCCAATTTTACCATCATTGGTATGAGAAAAATTTTTGTTGTATTAATTTATTATTTATTGAAAAGAAAATAAACTGTTATTTAGACTCGTAAACAACGTATTCTTGGATTTATGATATGCCTTGCTATGGGTCTATTATGTATGGCATTAGCGACACTTTACATTCCAGTGATTATATTGAAAGCAAGAAAATTCGCGGTACTTTTCTCATTTGGTAGTTTATTCTTTCTTTCAAGGTTTGAAAATTTGTTTGTTTATTTCTTTTTAATGAACTGATTTTTTTGTTTACATTGCAGCTTTTCGATGTTATGGGGTCCAATAAATCATTTAAAGCATTTAACAAATGTTGATCGTTTACCATTTTCCATTACTTATGTAGTTACTCTTGTTGGTACAATTTATTATTCTGTATGGGTAAATATCTTTCATTGTATTTTTTGTATTTAATTCATATCGTTATAAAATAGAAATTATTAAAAACGAAAAATATAGGTTTTTAGGCAAAAAGAAATGATTGCCTAGGAAGATTTTATATGTCTTGAAATAAGTTATTTTCTTCTTGACATCTATGGGAATAATAAATAAAAATTATGATATATATTTTGTTTTGTTTTTCTTCCTAGGTTCGAAGTTATTTCTTTACTATTATCTTTGTTTTATTCCAAATTGGTGCTCTTGCTTGGTAACTAATGATATTCAAGTAGTTAGTTTTCGTAATTTCATTCTTTTTTTTCTTCTGATTTAGGTACATTGTCTCATATATTCCTGGTGGTACACATGGTCTAAAATTTTTCTCAAAACTTTTTTATACATTCGCTGCAAAAACGGTGACAACAACTTTATCCGTTTAGATCAAAAGCATATCTGTGTTTTGTTTTTATTTATTAAATAACTGTCAATAATGTTAATAAAGCGATGTTTTATTTCGAAAACATATTTATTCAAGTACAAATAATTAATTTTTGTGAAATTTTTCGATTTTTAAAAAAATATATGTGAAAGGTTTTATTTACTTAAAGAAAATAAAAAAATAATTTTTCTAAAGTTATTTTACACGAATTATGAATTGAAATATTTATGGGTAAATGATTCTAACGGATGGCTTAGAATAAATGGCGAATCTCAGTATTTCCTTAATATTTCTGTGTACTTTCACGGATACGAACTAAAAACGTCTAGGAGTACAGATGTAAGCTAATCAGCTGAGCTATCGTCACTGCGATACAAATATAGTTACTTTGCTTTTGAAAATTTTCGACATGCGAATTCACTTTTTTGGATGTTTTTTTTTCTGTAAGTTCTCTATCATTGTTCTGTGTCGTTGTTTGTTTCAAGATTTCTTGAAATTAAGAAAAGTTTGAAAAACTTCATTGGAAAGATTCCATCTATTGATCCATGTATTGGCTTACAACTCTATGTAGAAGCTATATCATAAGCATAAAGCATTAACAACTTTAAAATGTGAAATATGGCTTATTGTTTTAATATATCTTTGTGATGCTTGAAAGCAACACTTATCGTATTTATTTCATAGATTTATACGACCTTGAGTAATATTTTGAAAGTCTATCTTAATTCTAAATGAATAGCATTTCATATCGACTAACTTCACATGAAGAACGCAATAAGTTTAAGTGCAGACCAGTATTCAGAACATTCGATGATTTATTCATATGATTATCTATGTGTTTCATTACATATACTGGTAGACAGTATGCTCAAGATTGCACTAGTATTGTTACTTGAGAGTCTACAATCAGTGTTTTAGATGTAGAAGAACAAAAACGAGAATCAATGTAGAGATGTTCGATGTTCATTATATTTCTTTCTTAAATATGTTGCTTTTACATCTATTAAACTCAGTCAAATAAGGTTTTATAGAAAATGAAATACTCTATCTTTTAGAAAAATACTAGTCAGTTTTCTTGAATTCGGATTAATTCATTCGAATGTAGTCGACATCTTTGCTAGCCAATGAGTTTTTCAATGACAATAAAAATCCATCAAAAGATTTTTGTAATTCGTGATTGAGACAAATAAACAGCCGTTTTTATATATTACTAAATACTATTGAACAGCACGATCATTAATGAATATTATGAAATAAAAATAAATGAGTGTGAATATTACCGACATTCTCCAATTATATTTATATTCTGTTTTAATTAATTTATTAAATTTGGTACACGATGTACGTCGGGTCGTTGAGCATAATATGCATGTACTTCATATTCACTCACTAGCCTCCAATCATTATATATAGGAACATTTTTAAATGTTTCATTCAATTGAAACACTTTTCGTATATCATCCAAACGTATATAATAAAGACAATCAAAACCAGCAGTATCAAGCATTAATTGAGTATAAAGACGTGTAGGACGTGTACGAGGATTTTCTCTATCTGTCCATTCAATTTCATATCTGTCAGCTAATCTTAATGTATCGTCATTAATCATTTTTTCTAAAAGTAATACTTCTGCTCCAGGCATACTTATTTTAATATGTACTTTAGTGTTGTATGGTTTAACTAAACGAGCAAGCCATGATGAAAAATCAATAGCATCTAATTCTTTCGAATTCCTGTTGAGAACTAAATGAAACAAGAAAAAAAAAGCAATTTCTTTTTAATCTATTAATTATTTATTAATTTTTCACCGTTTGCATTCATATTTATTCGACTTTGTCGTCCCTGTTTAGTTTGAAAATAAATTTTTTCATCACGTATCCAAACAACTTTTTGTAGAATAATTATATTTATATTCATATATTTTTTTTCTCTTAATCGTTGTTTACATAATTGATAGTTATCTGGATCAGGTTCGAATGTAATTATATCATAAAATATACTATCAGGAATAAAATGAAGAAAATGTTCAATTGTTTCACCATTAAAACAGCCAATATCAATATAAATATGATGGATAGAATATTCATTACGGTTTCGTAAAATAATTTCGTCATCCGCATGAACAGTATCATTAGTTATAGATGATCTTGATTTTCCTGATAAAAATAAGTACATGAACAAAGTAATAATGAAAAGTATCGAAGCAAAAATTGTAAGGATAATTGTTGTAGATATATGATGAATGTAATGACGTTGTCGAAATTGTTCTTTAGTTTTACTTCTAAATGTACTCGACATTCGATAATATGTTTGAAAACTCATTTTCCGTAAAGAATATATATAACGAAGGATCATATTAAATCAATGTTTACTTTTATACGAGAATCTTAACATCACTGTGTTTTTACAGTATGCAATAACTAATAGACCTACTGAAGGGTGTCGTTTTTTTTTTCTGTGCTTCTCGCTTTTTTTCTGTTACGCATCAATGAAAGGTATCGAAAAGTGAAGGCAAAATATAATATGACTATACAGAATAAGATAGCAAACAAATGATAAAAGGATAGTTTAGTCACGTTTTAATTCTAATATTGATTCATATCAGAACCTTCATTATGTTAATAAATTCTTTTTCTTTTTGCATAATGGATATGTTTGTATATGAGATTATTTATTATTCAGGAATGAGTCGATGACAAGCAGAGAACACGTTAATTATTTGGAAAGAATTTTCATTTTTCCAAGCAAAACAAAATAATTTCTTTATCGAAAAAAGAAAAAATCATAGAATGAGAAATAAGTTTCTGTATTTTCTTTCTGGCTCATTTGTTTTTCTTTGCAATATTCGTATTATTATTCATTCATCATGAAAAGTATTTTTTATTTTGCATCTTATTAATATAAACTTATAAAAATATTTTCTATCATTGAGAATGAAGAATTTGACACTGGTCTATTGTATTTTATATAATAAAGTATCCCAAATATTTTAACATTCATCAGTATCATTACGCATACCGATAGGTAATTTTGATGTACATACTGATAAATGAGGTTAATGTACATATTGATCATGACATCACATATGATTAAAATGTAACAAAACATGGTCAATATTTGAATAAATACACAATGGTCTTTGAGCTAAATCACGTAAAATACCTGTTATATAGGTATCGTCAACCGTTTTTTGAGAAGACGGCTTCGTCCGTCCACAGAATTCGGTTTAGTAGAGATAGATCTTCTCCAACATAGTTTACAAGCCACTCATAAAATTCTAGCCGTGGATCTCAAACTTTACTTTTACTGCAACAAACAGGAAGAAAATTCTTCAAAACCTATTATTTGTTCGTTTAAGTTTGTTTTTACCAATTAATGGATCGAGAATTGGCGAATAATCAAAATCTTTATCTTCAAACGCATTTTGGAAAAACATATATGATTTCAGAAACATCCCTTCCAAAAGGTTTCCACCATGAAGAAATGTTTTAATTTTTATTATTTTCAATTGAGACAATCATGTCCAAGTTTCCCTTTCTGAGTCAAAAACAAGAAAAAAGCACTTTAATAATCATTCAATATGAATAAATTATTACGTACTTAATTGATTAATGTAGTTAATCAATCAAAATCAAGTTTAATGTAAAATTATCGAATTTAAATTATCATTTTCACGTTCTATTGAACACAATAGCATAATAACATATTATTAGATAATTACGTAAGAATTTTTGGAGAATTCTAGTTCGTAAAAGTCTGTCTAAGTAAGAAACAAAGCATTTGTGGCAAGTGCACATGTAAGAGGTTGTACTAATTATGTGAACTTTTATACTGGATAGAAGTCGATGTAGTGTGTCGATCATTACAAAGTTTTAACTTCCTATATAAGAGTAGATACGTTTCTTGAAAGGCAAGGTTCAATAAGAAGTCCTGATGTTCTTTGGACAATCGATATTGCATGTGGAGTGTGGATATTGTTTTTTTCCTTGCGCCTTACTCACCCCCTTAATACTTTTTTGTTGAATTATCTGTTGATTTCATTACTGATTATGTTCTTTGCTAAAGGTAACTAAAACATGGCATCTCTCTAAAAATTAGTTAGAACCCTGTATTGAATTGCCGATTATTACATCCTAATATTAATGTAAATTGATAATATGTAATTATAAAGATTTCGATTACTGTTTAGATTTCACAAATCCGTTGATTTTTTTATTGAAATAAGCAGGAAGATCTGTGGAAAAAAATAAAGAAAGATTTATCCGAGATAGTCCAAAATCATATATTTGTTTTTCTCTCAGGCCATAAATCACTTCGACAGTGAAGAATGTAACAGTTAATAAAGATAGCTGTTCTAGCAGGTATGTTTAATTGACTTTCTGTACTAATCATGTGTTCACGTTTACAGTAACGACTAGACATCGGCGTGACCAACACTTTTTGGTCACGGTCACGTCACTGTCACGATCAGTTTGGTCACGGTCACGGTTACGGTCATAATCACGACCGTTGCCATCGTGACCGTGACTCACGGTATCTACGCCAGTCTCTATACAAACGACTATTTTCTTTTTTCTCAAAATAGCATACCATTCTCTTCCGATACGAGGTCCCTATATTAGAAGGCTTTCCATAATAGAAGACCCCCTTGGAGAAATATGTGCGAGATTTAGTATAAGACCTCATTCAGTTATCGAATTTTTCGAAAAATAACAACTTCAACCACTGGATTTACACCATAATATGCTTATTTTTCAGAGTTTTGAGCTGAAAACCTTAACCAAGTGTTTTTAACATTTATCTAGGCTTTTAAAATCCGAAAAATCCTTCTCAAAGCATCGAAATCGCTTTGGCTTTCTGAGCAATCTTTTTAGATGAAATCTGTAAAAATAAAAGAGACATAACACAAGACCCTCTGGAAAAGTTTTGAGATTAGACACAATAAAAAACCTCGGATCACCTGGTGCGTAGAGGCGAAAGGTAATATAACAGATAAACCAAAAAGATTAGGTATGAAAAAAATTGATGAATTTGTTTTTGAGAAAATCTCTTAAAGTTCTTGAAAGTTTATTTGACTAAAGCCTGAATAGAAATGAGCGAAATCAGAACAAGTGAAGAAATGATCAATCGTCGAATAAGTCATCTGATAAAAGTGGAAAAAGTCAAAAATTTATGAAAATAACAATTCTTGTTCAAGGAGGTTATAATATTTTTTAATAGTAAATTTTTTTCTAAAGTATTTCTATGCGAGCTGTTTAAAATATATTAATACTGAGTATATTTTTTCTGGTATCGCGATTGTATTGATTCTATTCCTTCGTTTTGAGTTAGCATAATTAGAAAAGGATATTGACACATATTAAAGTATACTAAATATAATATTGAATTCTCTAATAAAGTTTGAAAATAACTGCTTTATAGTTACATTGAAAGTTTACCGTGACTCACGGTAGTCACGGCGGTCACGCCGATGTCTACTCCAAGTTCCTCAATAGATTGTTCAACACCACCGCGTAAAAATCATCGTTACTGTTTTACCAATTTGCATTTCTTCAAATATACTTCAGACGTATCAAGTACTTCTTGAGATTGTTCATTAAGATTTTCACTAGTTATTAGTATTGCGCCACCACATGCTTTTCTGTAGGTTCTAGATGATCTTGTGTGCAACCAGCATGAAACATATCTCAATCTAAATATACATATTTAGAAAACTAGTTAAGTTGTCGAAAATTCGAAATCTAAAGAAAGTCTTTTCTCAGGCATGATTGTGCAAAACTTATCGGTATTCTTTTACAGTTGCAGATCATGTTTTTCTGGATCCAGAACTGAAAAAGAGACAAATTCGGGTCTCAGCCATCAGCTTCCTATAAAGCCCATGAGAAAAATTAAACGAGCTGCTTTTCTGTAAAAGACAAGTTCTGGAACACTATTCTCTACACCGACTGCAAAAAAGCTTCGTCCTGCAAATTTGTACTCGGTAATCGGTATCAGCACAAATTCATTATATAGTATTGTCATTTGAAAAACAACTATCTTTATAAGTCCTATATAAATCAGACAATCATTCAAGAGTTATATCGAATGAAAAATGTTGATCATACAGACCCTTCAATACAAAAAGAATTATTTATTTTGATTGAATTTTTTTCGTTTCCTTCGATCGATCATCACGTAGGCGAAGTTAGCACCGTATTCGAGTATTTTCTGGCCATATTCACTCAGGAAGCGTTTCAAGTGTTTTCATTTTGTGTTCCAAATAGATTTTGACGCGCTCTATCAAAATATGAAAATCGATTGACAATAGTTTAAATCATTCGTGTACAATTTCAAAATACTGATTTTTCCCAATGGGTTCTAGGGAACCAGAGCAGTAATTCTTGCCCATATTTGAGCAGGAAGCGTTTTAGTTGATCTCATTTCTGCTCCACGTAAAACTCGACATCCACTGTCAAAAAGATGAGATCAAATTCACGGTATCTTCTACGGTTACTTTACAGAGTCAAGAAATATTGTTGTCTCTCTTCATCGTATAGGACTGTTCCGAACTGGTCGATACTCTAATTCGCAGACGACCTGTAATAGGCCTTTTTCCCTGTGTTACTAGACCGAGCATGTACGATTCCCCTTGGAGCACAAGCGGGAACATCTGGAGCACTTTGTGATCTAAGCACAGCACGAACTACTACTTCAATTGGCAGTGACTGATCGAGCGAAACGCTTGTATTGCGACTCCTAAACGATCTGCTTCAAACATCGTCAATTCGTTACAAGTATTCTCAAAAGCACATTGAATTCTACTTGGAACACAAATGAGAGCAGCTGGAAAACTTCCTGTGTGAATATGCGCCAAAAATAATACTTGGGCACCTTATGTCTCATCCCAAAAAAAATCGCATTCTTTATCTGTAACCGAATGTTTTCAGATATCGTCGATCCGATTTCACCATTGGATAGAGAATGTTCGATTCTACTTGCAACAGAAACAGAAACATTTGCAACGCTTCCTGAACCAATATGGGCAGGAATTCCTGTATGGTTCCGTAGCGCCCCTGGAGAAAAATCAATATTTTTCGAATTGTGCACGAATGGTTTAAACTATTGTCAATCGGTTTTCATCTTTTGATGGCGCGTATCAAAAATCTACTTAGAACACAATATAGGAACACTTGAAACGCCTCCTGAGTAAATATGGGCAGCAATTATTCGAATATGCTGCTAACTTCACCTACGTTCGATCATCGCTCTTTTGCTTGGATTTCAAGGACACGACATATTCGTCATCATTACATATTCAAGATGAAAAAAGAAATGATTAAACACGACATGTTTAAAGACAGCAAGGATATCGTACAGCCGCCTTCTTCCATTATTGTCACACACCAGCCGGTTACTATTTGCAGCGTATAGCCGACGTTGTCTTTCTTCGCGTTTTTTCGTTTTCATACATATCTTCTTTCCGTTTATATATTCTTCTTCTTCTACTAACAGGAGAGTGATTTAATACATACAACGAGCTCGGCGGGTGGCTCTAAAACGAATTAGCCTTCTCAACGATAGCCGACGTTCTATTGGCCACCCGTGCAAGCTTGCAGATCATAGGCCTTCATAAGATATATCTGTCTATGTATGTATGAGTGGTAGCGTCCATCTCGTCTTCGTCTTTTAAAAGGCGATGATCATGGATGTACTAGTCATATATACATCGATGTATGTTTGCCTAACCATTAACGGTTTTGTCCACTGTGAGAGCGAATGGAATACGGCCGGTAGCCCTGGCCGTGTGAACGCAAAATTTTGCTGCTGCTGCGCTTCGGAGAGCCATATGTGTTCAAGATGAAGAATTTATTTTTTCATTTAAAAATAAAATAGAATTACTTTTTCGTTTTTACATTTTCAATATTTCTTTTCACGTCCGCAATACATGGATGCACTGAAGGCAGTGACTTTCTCAAGATTTCTTGAGCTTTTTCGTAATATGAAAGTGCTTTCGAGTACTCGCCCATGTTATCATGCAGCAAACCGATGTTGTTGTAAGAAGAAGCCAAGTCGGGATGATTCGGAGGGAGAGCTATTTTCTGGATTTCAAGTGATCGTTCGTACGATGAAAGTGCTTTCGAGTACTCGCCCATGTTAGAATACGCACTACCGATATTGTTGTAGGATTTAGCCAAGTCGGGATGATTCGAAGGGAGAGCTATTTTCCGGATTTCAAGTGATCGTTGATGCGATGAAAGTGCATTCAAGTACTCGCCCATGCTAGAATACACACTACCGATATTGTTGTAGGAAGAAGCCAAATCAGGATGATTCGGAGGAATAGCTATTTTCTGGATTTCAAGTGATCGTTCATACGATGAAACCGCTTTTGAGTACTCGCCCATGTTTTCATACGCCAAAGCGATATTATTGTAGGCTGCTGCGAAGTCGGAATGATTTGGAGAGAGAGATTTCTCTTTAATATCGAGTGCTTTTTGGTAAAGCACAAGGGCCTCATTGTGTTTTCCTTGGTCATTTCTTAACATTCCGAGGTTATTGTAATAAGCTGCTTTGGCGGTCTCATCAGATGCCTGATTGAGTAGCATTCTGTACAGTTGTTCTGCCTTGTCATTTTCACCCAATTTCGATAACAATGAGCCCATTCGTTCCCAGCCTTTTCCCTGGCTCTCCTCGCGTAGTCGTTTGGTAAGAGTTTTGAGCTGTTGGTCCTCATTGTCACTAGTGAATGTAAGTTTCACTTGCCACAACACTATTCCCCTATCTTCAATTTCTTGGATTTGTTGGACACGAAAAACCGTGTGCATTGAAAAGAGAATTTCTTTTTCTTTCTTGAAATAACTAAATTGGTGGATGCGAGCAAACGGAGCTGATGAAATAGATCGATTAATGGACATTTCGAAGAGAACACGAATTGTGTTGTTCTCAGCGGACTGAAGCCCTTTCGGAATAAAGCGAAGGGCTACCTTTCGATCGTCACTTGTTGATAAGAAATTATTGAACGAAATGAGTCCACCTTGTTTAATTTTATTTTTAAAATCTTCCTTGAACATGGTTTGACCACGGTATACTTTAAATGTTGTTGTTGCTCCAGGAGTTTCATTCGGTTGCTCTGAATTGAGCTTCTTGATGTTTCGATGAAGATCTCGAATGTAGATGCCCATTTTGAGCAGGGTTTCCACTTGCAGAGTACGGAGTGCTTTGTTGAGCATCTGATCCGTGAAACAATTCCGAGTGTACCACCAAATAGGCTTGTTCTTTCCATCCAAATTACTTTGATATTCTCGGGCGAATTCGTCAATAATTTTCAAGTGATGGTCATTGCCCGCATATTTCTCGCGAGCGTATTCTGCTAAATCCTTGATTGCTTTTTTTTCATCGAAATCAATTTCAAGAATTATTTCTTTGAACAGTTGTGTATACATAAATGATGGTTCAATTTGATTTAATGACGATACAGCACTGATTAAAATTGAATTTTCATCACATTGTCGAGTGCATTGTTGAACCGAGCCACAAATTGGAGTAATTTCAGTGAAAATACCTTTCACCTTGGACCAGTCCTTTGTCCATCCTTCATGAGTTTCTTGTTTCCGATAAAAGACATAAATTGAATATAATTGTACTATGTTATGAATGAGGGGCACTATTGTTTGACACAAAGCACCGGAAATAATAAGAAACAACTTTTCGTTTTGAATTTCTGAAATATAATCGATACACTCGTCTGTGTCACGAAATGTTTCAATGATATTCACTGTTTGTCGTAGTTGTTTGATAGAACTGAGATAGTCATCGCTGGATTCATCAATTTCTGCGTCAAGCCAAATCAAAAGAAAATTTTGGGCAATAGCATTTGTATCCGTTCGACAAATCCGTTTCGGAACTCGATTTGTGTCTTTCAATTTCTTATTTAACGAAGACAGTGATGATGGATAATTATTGCTGAGAAAATTTGCTACTGATGAATGTGCACCGCAATCCATATTCTTTGATTGATTGTATGTAATGTAAATAAATTTTATGTATTATTATTATATACGTAGAGATCGTCAATCTGAAATTACAAATGAATGAATGAATGAATGCTATTCAACGACAAAGATTCTTTATTTGAACAAATATTTTCTCTGACGACGATTTTTCTTTCTTAATTATCAATAAATGTTTTTTTTTCTTGACACTCAAGGAGATATCCTGGCTTCAAAAGAAAAGCCGTGTATGTGAGTACGGATGTAAATGTGAGTATATTGATTCTATCAATACTCACACTCGGATCATTAATCCATCAGAATGACATAGTGAAAGAATGAAGATCCATCTGCTAGTATCACATTTTTGAAAAAAATATCATGGTTTTTCAAAGACTATGACAGTAAAACATTGTAACGACAATATTTTAATGAAGAAATACAGTTTTAAATTAGCTACTTTGATCTGAAGGCTGTTGTCGTCGAATGGCAATAAATTAGAGCAATTAATAAATGAATATTTGTCGAAGGTAGTAGATGTGAAGAACCTCGTTTGTCTCCTTAGACAGAGTTTGCTTCTTCTTTTTGTTGATACTTTTTTTGGTGGGTTGGGTTGTTATAGAAGTGTGTTTGGTTTGCTACTGAAGGATATCTTATCTTTCGTTTCAAGAGTGTAGAAGATGCAAGTCTGTATCAAATATCAACAACGAAACGAATGCATCGTCATTGAAAGAAAAAGAAAATTCGAAAAGTCATAATAGAATGAATGCTGTTCTCATTGTTATCAAGCTTTTTTTCTATGTAGTAGTGGGTATGGACTGCTAGAGGTCACGTGTTTGAGATCGATAAAGTTTTGAACAACAAAGGTATTCATTTTGTGGACATGATTTTTAAATGAAGAAACAACATTTCTTTGAAGGGTATTATCTCCTGTTATCATTGACTGACTAACTGATTTGCTGATGGATTTCTCGCGATTGAAATTAATCTAGTGAAAGATATGAAACAGAAGAATGTTAATGAGGTGTGCTAGGAGAGATGGATAATAGGTGATAGTGAAAACACAGATGTTGATTTTTACTCACACATATATACCCATCCTAATCATTGTATCATAAGATATCATAAAATATATTCGCTTATTTGAAATAATCTTTAGCAAAAGTGTAACCTTGCTTCCTTGTTCTTCTTTCAGGCACAATTTAGTGGACATCTATCAATCGTTTATGACATGCTCAACTTAAAGACTTGAACGAAAAAATGATTTATATATACATATATATATATATATATATATATGTTTAACGAACATGTAGGTATGAAAAGTTCATGAGAAGTTTATTTATTCATTATATATAGATAGATGTTGAAGAAAAGCTAATGAATATTTGAAAAAAGTATTTAATATCTGTCCATGATCGTTGAAGAAGGCATTTTGTTTTTTATTAATTTCGATAATAATGATAACTAATGACATTTAGGGTGCGGGTGTAGGTATAAGTGAATATAAGATCTTATCCGCACCCACACCCTTTAAGGGTACCCCCCCCCCCCCCTCTTTTTTGACCATTTCTAGATCTCGAAGATGGTAAGGCCGATCGAAATGAAATTTTTACCACAAATAGAACACCTAAAATGATGAGACACGTGTTCGAGGAAAAAATTCTCTAAGGCGGTTTTCATGGTTTTTTATGAAAAACCTTGGTTTTCCATAGGTTCTNATTTAATAATAGGAAAAAATTTCTTTTTATCAACTTACTTGGTGACTTTTTCTTCAGTATCAACTTCAGTAACTAATTTTTTTAATTCATTTACATTAATTATTGGATTCTATTCATAGAAAACACATTTTTTTTTAAATTTTATTAAAAGAAAATCATTTTATTATTTTCATAATTTTACCTCAGTAAGTAATTGTTGATTATCAATTAACGGTTTAAGAATTGAACGAAATTTTCCAAGTTTTGCTTCCAATTCACGTCGTTTTTCTTGATGACGTAAATCCATTTGTTCCAAACGTTTGACATTATTAAGTGAAAACTGTAAGATACAAATAAAATTCATAATTAAAATATTAAGTACATTTAAATAACTTTCAATATTTATTAGATAAGTTTTTCTTTCTTTTTTCTGTTTACTAGCAGTAATTAAAGATAAAAAAAAAACAAAAATAACGGATCGATATATTAGTATCACACAAGAATAGATATATATGTATATTTTCTTTATCACCAATGAAATAAACTAAAAGGAAAATATTTTCTTCACTTAATGATAAAATAAAACTCAATAGAAACAAAATAAAATAAAATACAACTCAACATTAAGTTAAAAACTTTGTCTCGATTAGTTAATCACACGAAAAAAAAACAAGCAGTGTGCAATAACAACATTCATAAAGCGTTCGATGAATAGCATGTGAATCGATTGGGTATTAGTAGAATGAAGAAGAAGCATGGTAATTGCAACTGTCGACGACGCCTACCTGGCTGGATTTAATTGCTTCTTGTAATTCAATTTGATGAGTTTTCTTTGTATAATCTAATTTTTCTTTCAATGCATTTAATTCACGTTCTTTTAATTCAAGTAATTCACGAAGATTCTAGAAAAACAAAAGAATGAATGATTTTGTTTCTTTTTTTAAAGAAAATAATTAAGAATTTTTACATCTATTGAACTATTATCAATATTTGATTGTTTAAATTTCATGGTGGCTAATTCACGTTCAAGTTGTTGAATTTTTATTTGATCATTATGAAGTTCGGATTTAAGATGATCAATTTCCAAACGATATTGAATTTCATTTGTACGCAATCTTAAATAAATTGTAAGAATTTATTTAAGATAAAAATAAAAGAAAAACATCTTCAAAAGCTCAGTTATATGGTTTAGTATTTATTGGATATTGTTATAGTTTATTGTGATTCTCTAAATGAAGATAGGGCATGCGTATAATATATAAAATCACCATTTTATTTCATGCTCTCAGTTGATATTACCAGAAAATGAATTAGCAGAAATCTTTACGTTTGATATAACTTACGATTGATCTGAATTGGTTTTTGTCATATTTGACCTGGAATTTTCATCAAAGAATTTAGTTTTCAATAACTATGATGTATCACTTTATGTACAACACATAAAAGCTTATATTCAATATATGTTGGATTATAAATCATTTATTTAAAGTTCATTACAAAAGAAAAGAAAATTTCGATTCACGATTATATAAATTTTTTGTATACATAAGATTCTTCCTTTCTAAGAGGCAATTGTCAATATTTAAAGAATATTGGTATGAACGTGATATATTCAAAATTGAAAGTAAATTAAACAGAAAAACAACTCTTCTAGGCATGTACACAGTTTCAGTGAACCTATCATTGACATACCAATGCTAATCTCGATTAACTACAATTTATGTACAGAAAACTATGACATTTTTTCTTTGAATACGATAGAATATATTTAATTCAATGTTATGCTCTTCTACTGAATAAAAACGCTTCGACAAAAAGAATAGTTCTACATTAATACAAAAACTATATGCAGGTCGATCTTATTATAGATTTCTGACAAAATCTCGAAAGAGTACATTCGTTCATTTCACTATTTTTCATTGATGATCATGAGTTAAAGCACACAAAAGTGCGTACTTTGATAGAGTCAGTGTCTCACAATTAAAGCTCGTCAGGTGCAAAAATTTCCGATCAGATCATACAATACTTTGATTAACTCAATGAAGCTTTCTACTCGAAATTATATAGAGTCGCCACGAAGATACGAGATACTTGTTTTTGTATTCAATGACTAGTACATCATATACATTTCTCAGACGACTAGAGCCTGTGGGATCCGGAGTCGGGACCAATCCGATGGGGGGATTCTACTCAGAATTTCACTCAAGGTCAATATATTCACTAAAACTACACATTTCTAAGCTTGACAAAAGATTTGCTTTAAAATAACACTTTTAATCTGTAGCAATAAGAAGGAAACCAATTGATATTTAATCAGTATTACCTCTCTGTTTCATCTTTAATTGCTGACATTTCTTGAATTTGAATACTCATTTCATGTTGAACATGTTTGAAATGTATTGTATATGATTCAAGTTGACTTTTTAATCGTTCATTTTGTAAGCGAAAATTTTTCATCTCATAAAATAAAATAAAATAAAAAGAATTATCTCAAATACAAGAAAAAAAAATCTTCTTTACTTGTCGTTTATTATCATTTAATTGTTGTTTTAAATCTTGTTCGGAATCGTTAGTTAAAATTACTGATTGTTCATTATTATTTGATATTCTTTGTGCTACTTCATATGTTAAATATTTTAATGTTAAATAACAAATATCTTCATCTGAATTTGTAAAATTTTGTTTTTCATTGTCTTTTTGTATTTTTGAATAACTTATAAATGAAAGATGTTGATTTTCTTGTTTAAGTCTTTCATTTTCATGCATATAATCAAGTATCATACGTTCAAATTTCAGAATAATATCTTTAAGTTTTTTATTTTCAATTTGTATTTGTTTAACAAAACATTTCAATTGTTCACTTTCTTTTGACCATGCTAACATTTCTTGTTCAAATGTATGACGCGAAATACTGTGATCAGACGACGGCAACCTTCAACGATAGAGTTAAAAAAAAAACAAGTAGGTGAAAAAATTAAGTCAACAAATGTAAGCTACGAATCAGTGTCCTTGATTGTTTGAGTGTCAACATTTGCTTTTAATGGTTGAAAAGTTTTTTCTTTGATTTGTTCCATTAAAGTTATACGTTCACGAAGAAGATTATCTATTTGAGATTGATATTCACTTATTCGTGAATCAGTAGAACTATTCAAAAAAGTAAAATAGTTTCAGAAAAAAAAACAAATGATTAATAATACCTATCAAGATCAAAACTCGTTTGTGATGGCACACTATTCACTGGTAATGATGAACTATTCTCTAGTTGTTGTAATTGTTCATGTAGTTGAGTTAATTGTTCATCTCGTTCTCGAATTTTTAATTCATAAGATGCTTCAAAATCATTCATTTTTTTAGTTTCGTCTTTTTTCCATTGAGATAATAAATCTTGTGCTTGATCTCTTTCTTCAATTAAACGTTCGATTTCATGCTGATAAACTAATTCAGTTTCTTGAAGTTTTTCAATTTTTTTCTGATGTTCTTCAACAATTGATAAACTATCAGATAAAAAGAAGAAAAAAAAAAGAAAGATCTAATTGATAATAAAACAATTAAAAGATAACAAATGTAACTACCCAAGTGTTTGAGTACAAGCATGATTTGTCTCATGAGATTTTAATTCTTCCATTTTAGCTAAACGTTCGTTTTCAATTTGATTACGATATGTTTCAAATGAACTACAATATCAAATAAATTTTATTTTTATCATATTTAAGTGGTATGATATAATCATATCTTTTCTTTCTTTCTTTTTCTATGATCGTCGTTACCTTTCTATTTCTTTTATCTCATTTTGAAGGCTATTAATAAATGACATTATTTTGTCAAGGTTTTCAAATATATTTTCATTTGATATTGAAATTAAATTTGGATATTCAAGAATAATTTGTTGAATTTTATTTTTTATTTGTTGAATATCAGAATCAATTTCAGTTTGAATATTCATATCATTAGTTAATTGTTCAGATAATGTTGAACTTATTAATTCACATTGAATATCAACATCATGAAATTGTTGTTGTTCTATTTCATCTTTATCCATAATATTAGGTGAAGCATCAAACCAAGTATTACATTCATTATCATCTGATTCTTTTGATTGACAATGTTCAAGTTCTTGCTTACTGATATGTTCATCTTCAATTATTGAAGAACTAAATATTTGAAAAAAAAACGTTTAAAATGAAAATAAAAAAAGATTAATCGAGAAAATCTACTAGACAGTTTGACTTTCGACTTCATGAGTAATTCGAGAAAGTGATAAAATATTTTTAAGTCTTAAAATGATATTCATTATCAATTTGTTGTCGATATATATCGATATGTACTATTTATAGAATTTTTATCGGTATGATAAAATCTATGTTGTGCTATAAAAAAAAGCCCGAAGGAGAAAAATCGAAAATTTCATCTAACAAAATATTCTTGAACTTTTGCCTTTTATTAGCATTGTAACAAAAGTCATGCACAAGGCAAGAGATATAAAAAAAAGAATAGAGTGTAGGTCTTGTCTTTATTTAAACTGATGCTTTTTTTTGGGAAGCATCATATAAAAGAAGAATATTGAATTATATGTGTAGAAATTTGAAACCTTTCCTCCCTCCCCCGACCGTCCCTCCACCCGCCCCCCCCTGGCACCGTCTCCACCGACCCGCGCCCCTNAAATTATTTTCTGATTCTAAAAACGAAGAAAATATTTATAAGAAAAAGAAAAAAATTAACTAAAGATAAAAGTAAACCTGATCGAAGTTCATCATTTGTTTTTTGTAATATTTCATATTGTTGATTAAAATCTTCTCGATCTTTAATAATTTGATCAATAATAATTTGAGCTGTTTGATCCAAGGAAATATTTTTATCTAATGTAACATAATCATGAAGTTTATTTCTAAAATTATCAAGTTCAACACATTGATTAGTTAGAGTTGCGATATTTTCTCGAAGTGGATAAAGTTCTTCATCTTTGTTATCGGTAAACGAAGATGCTGATTGAACCGATATAAGACTATGAATAGATCCTTCTTCAGATGGTTTTATATGCGTTTGTTTTGCTGAATCGGATGATAAAAGTTCGACATGTTTATCGTGTTTTTTATCAAAATCAGAAGATTGACGTTGATTGACTAAGTGATTTAGATAATCAACAAGTAATTGTGCTATTTGATCAATAGATGAGTTATTATCAATGAGTAAGATATGTTTAAATTTATTTCTAAAATTATCAAGTTGAGCTTGTTGAAATTGTTGCCATGCACGATTAGCTTCATCGAATTGAGCACATTGAGTTGTTAATATTGCAATATGTTCTTTTAATTGTTGAAGTTCATCATCACGTTGATTTTCAACTATTTTTATATTATTATTATCACCGGTTTGCTTTGTACTTATTTCTAAATAAAACGAAAATTTTCTTTATAGTTCTTTTTATGATGAAGCAAACCTTGTAATTCAATGACTTGATTGAATAGTATATCATATTGATTTTGTAAATCATTGAAACGATTTTCAATTTGTTGTATAGTATCATCAAAAGATAAATTATTATCTAATTTAAATCGATCATGTAATATTCTTAATTGATTTTTTTGCCATGATCGATTAGCTTCATCTAATTGTTTATATTGAATACTCAAGTTTTCAAAATCTTTTTGAAGTTGATCATATTCATTATTGAATTCCGATGTTGATGAAATAGGAGGAACCTAAAGAAATGTTTTGTTTTAAATCTTTTAGAGATACTCCATGAGAATATCGAGAATCATCCTAGTACAGAAGATAATGATTAGAAGTTTAAATTTTTGAGTTTTTTGTATGCATTTCAAAGGTCATCATCTACTGAATATAATGAGCTATTTAAAATTTTGTATATCATTTATTTATTGACGAGGTAATCTCTCTATGTATTAAATCACTTTTCGACCGAGACGATGTTTACTTAATGAGTAAAAGTTAAGTATAGAGTGGTTTGGTTTTCTGTATCGTCATTCTTGAGATATTGAAGTCTGATTGGGTTTTTCAAAATGAAGCTGTAGTTTCCCCCTCAGGTCACTTCCGACTTCAAACGTTAAACGAACAAAGTTCTCACTGAGAGTAACATGTTGAACAATGTATAGATTTTCTAGTACCTCCTATTCTGAGATATTTGAAATTCTCTCATGTGTAAAAGCAAATTTCGTTCATATATTTACATCTCCAAAAAGGAAATATTAGTTACACAATCAACTAATCTCATTACGAACTTTGTTCACGTACAGTTTGAAGTCAAAAGTCTATTAGGGAAACCACATCTTTTAAATTGCAAAATTGAGTAAAATTTAGATAGCTCAAAAACGAAGGTTTGGAAAACCAAACCAGTCTAGACCTTTTCTATTACTCGTCCAATGAACATCGTCTTGAAAGAAAAGTGATTTGATACTTGGAGAGGTTCTTTCATGAGTGAGAACGGTCACAATTTAATAGTCTATAATATCGATTTGTTGACGATATATCTACTACCATTTTACGAAACCAACAACACCAAGCTAAAACAATATGAAGCTTTTACTATCAACAAACAGAATCAAGGAAAACAATCTGAGACACTTTTCATTTCGGATAAATTAAAACTTTAGTCTGGCTAAAATTATATAGACAACTCTTTTCTAGCAACGAACAAAAAATATTTTTTGCAAAATCCGATAATAATCATCGACATCAATAAAACATGAGACAATGATGACAGCTATATACTTGAAGTTTCTTATCAACCGTTATCTAGTAGAGCATCCTTCTGATGGAGAATTCGAGGATCCGCAGCATTGAAGGTCAATTCTATACCATTAAATTATCATTAATAATGAACTCAAATCGTACAACTATGATCAGCATATCATGCTTGTCAATGTGGATAATAATTGTCTATATAATATTGTCCAGGATGCAGTCCGAATTTCTCCAAGATGAAAATCATCGTGAAGAATGAAGAATATCGACAAATGTTCAAGCTCGTTTGCTTGGAGACTATTTACTCGTTTATTGATAGTGTAAGGATAAAATTACCTTGAAGGTAAATTTTGCTTTCGATTGTCTTTGACTATTTTGTAGACAATCAACAGTTATAAAAAATGTCAAAAACTCAGTTTGATTTCGAAAAATGGTAATAGATATACTGTCAAGGAACGGATATTATAGACTGCTAAATTGTGACCTTTTCTACTCATATTGATTCAATAATGTTTTAAATCGCTCAGTTTTTTCAACTCCTGATCATCTATCTTTTGATACATTACATGAAAAAATTGTTTGACTTCCAGAAGTATAATCCTGATAAATAAGTGTTGAAAACTCGATCAAGGCTAACTTTATCATAAAACATCTAAATGAGCTAAACAAGTGGGTTTGGTGGTTTTAGATGATAAACTTTCGAATGTATATAAAAAATAAAAATTTTGATCAATACCTTGGCCCCCTAGTCTCTTTATGAAAGTTCTTTTAAAAATTTTAAAATGAGCAAGAAACCTGTAATAATCGATGTTCTAAAATTGGTATTAATTGTTCAATTGAATCGATATTTATATTAAAATGTGAATATAAACGTTTTATTTCTGATTTATAAGTATTTAATTCTAATTCCAATTGAATTTTTTCATCATCTTTAATTTGTAATAATTCTGAATATTCTTGTTGTAATTTTTCTAATATTTGTTGATCTTCATTAATAGAATTTCTTAATTGTTGAATATTATATTGATCTTGTTTATTAATTAATTGTAATTGTTCATATTCTTGACGTAATAATAATTCACGTTGTTTAATTCGTTCTTTTTCAATAAGATCATCTTCAATTTGACGTAAATAATCCATTATTTGTTGTTTTTCTTGAAACATTCGACGTTGAATTGTTGATAATTGTGAACGTACTTGAACATTTTCCGAACGAAGCATTTCAATTGTTGAACCTAATATTTTAAGTTTTAGTTCATTATAAAATGATTTCAATTGCAAAAAGAATTTTCATATAAGAGATTTAATAAAAATGAAAATTATTCATTTTTTATTTTGTTAATTTTATTGAATTTTGTTTAAATTTTTAATAACAATCGACTAGAGTACCTCAAGTGGAAAACTTTCAAATTGAATACGAACCCTAGATTTCAACTTGGATTCACATCGGAACTCGGACTCAAGTTCGAATCTTCAATCACCTGTGAGTTGAACACTCAATATCCTACTTTGAGCTTTGGATCAAAGAAAATTTGAACTCTTGTGAGACACATGATCATTCATGATTGTCAAAAGCAAACACGAACATCCATAGGTAATCATTATCGATGAACGAAAGTCAAATCTATATTAAAACAGTGACTTCATAGTTAGTCATGGCTGCTCGTGCTTTCTTTGAGCTGGTCAAAAGTGATCGCGTGATTTACAAAAGTCCAACGAACCTGGACGAAAAACGTTATTGCTACTGTCACTATTATTATTTATTGAGCTGAGTTATCTTTTCACTTGTAAGTATTTCTCTATGCATAGAGACTGATAGAACTTTGAAAATAAACGTAAAAGTTGTCAGTTATTATCAATAAGGATTTAGATGAGTTTTAAAATCGATTAGAAACTAATTCGTGTTATGGTATTTGTTGATGGCAGAATTTTTTATCTAATTTAGATTTTACCTTGTTCAGCAATTCGCACATTAGCTTTTTGTAATAATTTTTCTAAATCTTGTTTACTATGTTGATTTTCTTTAATATCATTTGTTAATTTGATACGTTCAGTATCAAGAAGTTGACAATTACTTTCAAGATTATTAATTGACATTTCTAAACGTCGTTTAATAAGTCTATGATTTTGTAAATCAACAGTTAAATCAGCTAGATTTTGTTTTAATTCATTAATAATATTAATATGTGATTTACTATCAGATTCTAAATTAGATATTTTACGTGATAAATTTGTATTTTTTTCTTTCATTAATTCATATTCAATTTGTAATTGTTCAATAACAAAATTTTTTTCTTCTAATGATTTTTGTAATAAATCAATTTTTGTTTGATTATCATTAATATGTTTATATTCAGTATGAGTTTCTGTTTGATAATCTAAACGTTCTTGTAAAAGAACACGAATTTCTTTGCGTAATGAATTAATATAATCTTGAAATAAAGTTCGTTCTTTATCCCATTCAAGAAAAAGTATATCATCTGTTATATCATTATCTGATTGACTATCTGTTATTTGTTGTTTATTTATACTTCGATGTAATGATGCAAGTAAATCAGATTCTGACAATGATATTTTACGATTTAAACTATTTGTTATATCAGATAAAGATGGTTTTGTTTCATTTATTTCTTGATCTTCTAATGATGATGAATCATTATAATGTATAGATGAAATATGATTAGAATCTGTTAATGATGATAATTCAATAGAATGAAGTGAAGATAATATTCGATTAGATTTTATGTCTTGTATAAAATCAAATTCTTTTTCTATATTTGTTAATGACATTGAATTAGTTGTGGTTATTTGTGTGGAATTTTCAATAATAGTTGATAATGTTTGACTTGATCGAGTTGCAAGTTGTGGTAATGTTAGTGTATCGAATTTTAATAAATTTTCTTCTGATGTTAAAGATAATGGTTCATATTCGTTTTCTTGTTGATTAGTCATTGTTCAATTTCAAAATTTTTTAAAATATGATCATTAATAGAAAGTAATAATTGTTATGATTTTAAATATTCAATTAAATTATATATTTTTTTAACAATTCAATCATGAAATACATTAAGACAACAAGCGTTGTACAAAGATATGAAGACAAGGACAAAATGAATATTTCTATGACTAACAAGAGAACGAAAGAACAAGACAACGACAAAGAAATCTGAAAGAAATAATTCAATATTGAAAAATAATAAAAGTGAACTGATAGATAAATCAACCAAGCATAACTTCACGATACTATCACCTTTCTTTTCATTTAAATGAGCAGTAGTGCGCTTTTTCGCTCGTTCTCACGATCCTCATCATCATCATCATCATCACCACTGATCAGTGTTGTTGTACACGCGTCGCTTTAAAATACATTTGATTGGTTATCATTAACCATTACTATAGACCATAGACCCTCAATTCAAAAATCTCGAAAGAACGAAATAATGAATTCGTTCTTTTCTGTCAAATAAAATTCAAACAAAAAATTATTTTCTTATATAATTTTTCGTTGGTTTAATTAACTTTCCAATACTTAATCACTTTTCTAATCAGTTACAAATTAATCTTTTTCTAATATTATTAGTGTTTATGAGAAGTATCATTAATTAGTAATAATCATCTGATCTTTCATCAAATACATATATAAATGGATTTTATAGAAAAATCTTATCATAGAAAAGTTTTCTCGTTAAATAGATTCTTTGATTAATGTATAATACATTTCATGTCATATTGCAGATATTATTCAAAAAATAAATCTTGTGTTTATTTTCTATTAAAATAAAAACATGAGACTTATTTTAAATACTTGTTTGTACTATCAAAAAGCTTTTTATCGTATTAGATCTCGTCAGGTAATCAAAAGTAAATAGAATAAGAAAAACAAAAAAAAACCTAATAATATTCTTTTATTTTAGATCAATGATACTGTTACTAAATTACTTAGTTTAAAAAAAGAACAATCTAATCATAGAAAAGAAAATATAATAAATAATGATAAAATTCTTAAAATACCACGAGTAAGATTTTATTATGAATCATCAATTATTTATAAATATTATTCATTAGGGTACTCGTGATTATCATCCAAATCAAATGAAAATTCGTGATGAAGTTTTTCGTACAATAATCAATTGTTTTAAACAACATGGTGCTGATACAATCGATACACCAGTTATTGAATTAACTGTAAAATTTTATTTTTAGTTTTTTTTTTTTGTTTATGTTGTTTTTTCTTAATTAGACACTTCTTAAAGAAAAATATGGTGAAGATTCTAAACTTATCTATGAATTAAAAGATCAAGATAATGAAGAAACATTAGCTTTACGTTATGATTTAACTGTACCATTTGCACGTTATATATCACAAAATAAAATTTCTACTATGAAACGTTATCATATAGGAAAAGTTTATCGACTTGATAGTCCAAAAATGACACGTGGTCGTTATCGTGAATTTTATCAATGTGATTTTGATATTGCTGGAAATTATGATTCAATGATACCTGATGCCGAATGTGTTAAAATTATTGCAGAAATTCTTGATAAACTTGCTTTAGGACAATATAAAATTTATGTAAGTTGATTAAAATACATATATATCAATTCTAATATTTGTACTCAAAAGATTTTCCTCTGTGCAACAGAAGCAATTTTAATGAGTTTTTGTTTTTGAAGAATGATAAATTTCTATCAGTGATTCATGTGAGCAGTGATCAACTTTGAATGTTCTATTTAATGTTATTGTTTAATTCAATTTTTGTCTTGAAACTCTTTTCTTTGCATTTAATTCGAATTAAATAACAGCTTCGAATATATATATATGTTCTTATTATTTTTAGATCAATCATCGTAAATTACTCGATGCTATATTTACTGTATGTGGTGTACCAGATAAACTTTTTCGTTCATTAAGTTCAACTGTTGATAAACTTGATAAAGTAATTTAAATTCGTTTGTTTGCTTTTTAAATTCTGCTTTTATTATTATAGAATTCTTGGGAGGTTGTTCGAAATGAAATGATAAATGAAAAAGGTTTATCACCGGAAGTAGTCGATAAAATAAGTCGATATGTTCACATGCATGGTATGTCATTTCTTGTTACTATAGTATTAGTCAAATATATAAACCCGGCGTGTTTTTAACTCAAATCTAAATAATGATTTGAATAGCCAATGAAATTCTTTATCAAATACATTTCGTACATGAGCTATGCGACGAAAGTTTTTGAGAAATTAAATACGGTAGTTTTCAGATCTCTAAAGATTCTATGAAAGTTAAATTTTGAAGAGCACAAACTTCTGAATGAAATGAGGGCTTGCCGCATTTTCTATAACATTCCTTTAAAAAATTATAAGCATCGCAAAAAAGGAAAATAACACGAATTTATCATCGCACTGCTAAAAACACATTTTTTGTAACGCTCATAACTTTGTCAGAGAATGTCGTAGGATATGTTGCAATCCCTCATTTTATTCAGAATTTTAAGGCTCTTTAGGATGGTACTCTTCAAAATTAATATTCACACAATCTTGTAAGACCTGATAACTACGGTATTTAGTTTTTCAGAAGCCTTTCTCTCATAATCCTTTTTTTTTGAAATTTATTTCATAAAGAACTTCATTGGCTATTCAAAGGGCTATTTTAATTTGAGTTAAATGTTTATTTTCGTAGGAAAAAAAGATCAAACATATGTTGGTCTTATACTTTTTTTTTACCAATATCGTATAATTTTAATATTATTATTTTTTTCATATAAGGCAACGTGAATCTAATTGAACAACTTCGAAATGATCCACAATTATCTTCCGAAAAATTAGCTATTGAAGCTCTAAATGATCTTGAATTATTATTTCGTTATCTAACATTATTTAACGTTATGGATAAAGTAAAACAAAAAAAAAAAAAAAATAATCAAATTTTCCAAGATTAATATTTTTAAGCAAAGAAAAAAAAAACTCTTTCTAGGTTATATTTGATTTAAAATTAGCTCGTGGTTTAGATTATTATACAGGTGTTATATTTGAAGCTGTTCTTACACAATATCAATATAATTCACAATTAGATGATGATCAAGTAGCTGTTGGAAGTGTTGCTGGTGGTGGAAGATATGATGAACTTGTAGAAAAAATTGATCCTAAACAAAGACGTGTACCTTGTATTGGTGTAAGCATTGGTGTTGAAAGAATATTTACTATAAAAGAACATCAATTAACAGTAATTAATTTAATAGACATATAATACGTATTTATCTGTATTATTATTTTGGTCATAGCAATCAAAAATTCAATCAAAAACAATTGAAACTGAAGTTTATGTAGCGTCAGCAGAAAAAAATTTCTTAGAAGAACGAATGAAATTATGTACTTATCTATGGGAAAATGGCTTTAAAGTTTGATTATATATATATTAATGTTTTGTTGAAAATAAATATGTTTAATTTTTATAGACAGAAATGGCATATAAATATAATCCAAAATTACTTGATCAATTACAATATTGTGAAAAAAATCAAATTGAATTATGTGTTATTATTGGTAGTTCAGAATTAGAAGGTGGTACAATAAAAATTCGTGATGTTATCACACGAAATGAGGTTAGATTATTTTTATTTTTTTTTCTAATAATAAATATTTTTCAAATATTTAGTTTGTAATTCCACGAGAACAATTAGCTGATGAAATACATATTCATTTGAAGAAAGTTCGACAACGATTAGCAGAAAATAAACAGCAATAGTTCAATTTTATTTTTATATTAATATTTTGTTTTCCACATTCGTTTGAAAACATTTTATTATTTACTTTTCCTTTTGTTATGTTTGAAGATTTGAATGAGGAACAAAACAAAAATGTTTTATTATATACGTACATAAGACTGATCGGAAAGAAATGAGAGAGTCACTTTTGATAGTACATATTATACATAGAGGTGTAAGCCCATTGGCTGAACCACTGCCGATGATCACAAAATCTTTAAGGCTTTTCAGCCGCGACACAAAAAGGATGTTTGATTTTGTCTCTTTCTCGTTTCAGAATTTCTCAAGATTAAAAAAAGTTTGCAGCCGCCACTATCACCTATCAATGCGTTGGTTAACTCTAAAATATCTTCTTATTCATTTATAATAGCACTTAAGATCAATTGATAGGATAGAAAAGTATTTGATATCGTTCACATTGAATAAATTATATGAGAAAGTGACATATACACTGAAGATTATAGAATAAACGATTATTTATTTATTTTTGCATACTAATGTATGATTATTGATATGAAATCTTTATTTTAAGATTAATTTCTTTCTTGTTTGTATATGTATCGTCAATTATCAACATTACCTCTAACATCTCTTCTTAAACCATATTCATTACCAATTGATGGTAAACATATTAATTCGAAATTTATACCTAAATATCGTTTATCGTTAATTGATCGTGAAACACCTGTTGAAAAATTATGTTTATCTTCATTGCCATCAGTTAATATTTATATTAAACGTGATGATCAACTTGATACATATTCAAGTGGAAATAAACTTCGAAAACTTGAATTTCTTTTCGCTGATATACTTTCTCGTCCAGAATGTCATCATATAATAACAGCTGGTTCATTACATAGTAATCATTGTAAAGCCGTATGTGTACTTGCTGCACGATTTCAACGGCAAGCTCATGTTCTACTTCGAACTGATCGTGATAATGAAGATGAACAAATTTTACAAGGCAATCCACTTTTAAGTTATTTATTAGGTGCTAAATTATATTTGATACCAAAAAAAGCTAATATTCAACATGATATTGAACCAAGAATGAAACAATTAGAAGAAGAATTAGGTGGAAAAGATAAATGTTATTTAATACCAATAGGAGGGTAAAATTTTTATTATTATTATTATATTTTTTTATTATATATTACTTTTATATCTAGATCAGATACAATTGGTATATTTGGATATTTCGATTGTTTTATACGTGAAATAATTCCATTAATTGATAAACTTAATCTTGGTCATCTTGTTGTACCAGTAAGTAGTGGTGGTACAATGGAAGGACTTGCTCTAGCAAATTATTTTACTGGTAATCGTTTACGTATCCATGCATTTGCTGTATCGGATAGTCAAAATTATTTTAAAACTCATTTTAATACAATACTTAGTCAATTAGAACTTGAAAATTTAAATAAATTAGTTGATGATGATAGTCTTGTTGATATTTGTGATTCATATGTTGGTTTAGGTTATGGTCGTATGACAAATGAACAAATTGATTTTTTACATGATATTATAAGTGAAACAGGAATTCTTTTTGATCCTGTTTATGCAGGAAAATGTTTATGGGGTTTATGTGAAGAATTACGCAATAAACATACTGATCGTTTTCCAGATGATGGAAAAAATATTTTATTCTTACATACAGGTGGTTTACTTGGTCTTATGAATCCAGATTATAGTAAACAATGGCTATTATCAAGTAATAGTCATCTAAATAAACATATACGTAATTGGATGACATTATAATTTTATTGTTAAATATTTAAATAAAAATTAAATCGAAAAATTTCTTTAATAATTAGTATTTCTTTTCTTTAATCTTTTATCTTTTTAGATGAGTACATCAATAAATAAAGTATTTGATAATGTTCCTGATTGTGTTGGATATCTTATAATGAATGAAGATGGTTCAGTTGAACATAGTCATGGTGATTTACAAAATAATGAACAAGCTGCTAATCTTATTTATAAAATGGTTTTATGTGCAGCTAAAGTTAGCGTACATCCAACAAAACAATTAGCATTTAAACGATTTACAGGTTTAATTAATTGATCTAATCAAAATATATATATAAAAGAGAGCAATTATGAGTTTATCGATGTCTGAAAACACGAATCCCGAAGTTGTATTGTTCAATACTTTTTCTTTCTTTTGACATCATTATATCCTTATCGAGGGGGAAAAACAACAGAGACTTCATTTGTGAAATCGTTGAACTATAGATTTTGTGAAACACAATTTAAAAGGGATGTTGAAGTATAAGGTAGATATTGGAATCCACCTCTCTTCATAGACGTGACAGACGTTGTTGATATACAGTCACAGACCATATATCAAAAAAGTCTCGTTGTATTATATGAACTAGTACCTTATTGCATTTCTAAAGGACTAAGTAAAAGAATTGCGAAGAAATTAAATAGAAAATCGCTCTTTCAATAAGTCTAAAATGTCCATTTGATAGAAATTCTCCGCCATTTGGAATTCAGAATCAGAGATTTCCAAGCTGAATTTTATTTATAGAGTATTTCATTTTCTAGAAAATGGTATCTTCAGAACACAACGAACCTCTTACATCTTTCTCTTACCTAATGGCTTTTGATGAGTTTTCAATAGAAGAATCGACATTAGAAATCAGCGTCAAACGCTATGATGAATCAAATATATTTTAGAGAATTTTTGGTCCTGAAAAAATTCACCTGTGATTCCCTATGGCTGTATTTTATTAAAATGTTGCTTCATGGTCCTCCCGGGTCAGTTTTGCGCAGAAGAAAAAAAATCTCTAAAATATATTTTATTCAATGTAGACTTTGATGCTGATTTCGAATGTCGCATTTAGTTTGTTTTACAATTATGTCATGGTAATGAAAATTGCAAAAAAATGTCGATTCTTCAACTCAAAAATCATCAAAAGCCATTACGTAAGAGAGAGATGTAAGAGTTCCGTTTCGCCTCGAAGGTATCGTTTATTTTTAAATACTTCTTTTATCATTTTGTAGAGAATAAAATTTTGCATAATAAATATAAAATTCAGCTTGAAATTCTTTGACTTTGAATTTAAATAGGAGATAGATTGTGATTAAATGGATATTTTAGAGTTATCAGAAGAGTCATATTTCATTGATATTGACCCTATTAAACTTCTATCGGTCAATACACTATTATATTGAAATAGTTCATTTTATTTAGTTTTTAACTATCTATCGTTTAGTAAAACCTATTGAAAAAAAAGATTGAATGATTCGTTGAAACAGAAACGAGCACAATTTTTTACAGGATATTATATACTGATTTTTTTTTCTCATACGGATTTGATAGTAGTAAAAAGTTGGTATTGACTAACTTTTGAAAGAAAGGATATTGGACGATAAAATTAAAAAAAGAAGAGTTTTCTTATCGAGTCCCTCGTACTCTCAAAATTTCTTTTTTGCTATTCTTTATTTTTATTTTAGTTTCTGATGATCAATATGTTTATTGTATTGCATGTGCAAATCATCGTATCTATGTTGCTAAACGTCGTCAAGAATCATCGACAATTGCTTGAAAAATACCTGATGATCATCTAATTATTATTTTTTTTTCGTCTTCTGTAATTCATGCTAGATTTTTTCTTCATAATGATTATGTGTAAAAGAAAATAAAAAATAAACGAGGAAAAAAATCATTCATTTTTACTTTAAGATAATGACAGAAAAAAAATTTATTTTTGTTATTCCACCGGAACATGTTCGACGTAAGAGGAGAATTGATTAAATTATATATAATATTAAATTTTTTCATGCGAATAGATTTTGGTAAAGCTTTACAAATTTTAACAAAACTCGGTGAAGAAATCTATATTGAATTAATTACAAAAACGAATGGTGTAAATAGAATATATTTTAAATAAAGAATCTTTTGAATTTATTTTTTTTTTCTTTCGATTTATTTAGTTAAGCTTTCGTACAGCAAATCAATCAAGATCATCATATTCATGTATTACATTTTATCGAGATTTTTTTCAAGAATGGCCACAAGATGATTTACAAAAAGAAAAAATTAAATGTCGAATTTCAGCTAAAGTATAAATTCTATTCAGTTATGTTCATTTAAGGATTTTCACTTGAGATGTCTTTTGAATAACACAAGAAGCATTGTACTAAAGATAGGATCAATTTGATTCCATAAAAACATGCATCGATATCATCTATGGATTCTACTAACGAGGGAACATTCCCAGATGTTGGAGCGATTTTTAGTCGGGACTTTGCGCATCTTGTAGGCCTTGATGAATTATGCCTACCGTAAAAAACGTTCGTGCCCCTAGCTTGTTCCTAGTGAGATATCGAGGTTTTAGTGAATTTTTCCTATAAGACCCCACATTTGCAGCAAGACCATATTTTTGAATTTTGATCTGAAACATTACCCACATAAACACCTCAGCTAGACTAGTTTGCNATACTTTCCAACGGGTCGAAATTGAACAAATATCTTGTCTATAGAAATTCTCCGACCATTCGTTAATATTATTTATAAATTACATTATTTTTCTATATAGACCAATTATTTTTTGTTTCGATGCAGAAGAATTCTATTTTGACGGTACTTTTGTGTTTGCTACTATTGCAAATCGAGAAGGTGAAACTGATATATCCTTTAGTACGAGCCAATCAAGTGTAAAGTATGAAGATAAATTTATTCGGTAAGAATTTTCGACAAAGTAATTCTTCTAGTGATATTTCAACAATGGATGAAGATGATCTTGTATCTTATCGACAATATACAATAAATACAACTGGTGCTACTCGAGGAGGAAAAAAACGTTCTGCACCATCAAGATCACCAACATTAGGAACGAATACAAATCCAATTGATGAAGAATCTAATATCGACGAAGATAATATATCGATAAATCCGAAGCAACGAGTAAGTTCTTCAGAAAATACAATTTTGATTACGTGAAACATGAAAATTTATGAATGAATTTGGTTCAATAGATAAGTACGACAGTTCATAGAAACACTACGAATACAGCATTTGGAGATACAACATATACAGTATTGAGTCAACAATCAATTGTTGGATTACAACAATCAGAAGATTTCATGGCTGATATGACTGATGATGAAGATGAAGAAAACTAAAAAGATTATTTTTGATTAATTTTTTGTATGTATTATAAACCATAAAATTCTGTTAAAAACAGTTTAAAAAATAAAATCTATTCATTGGTTGATATTTTGAAAGGAACTATTTATGAAGAATTTAATTATTTTCTCTAAACAATATTAATATAAGAATATTCAACATTCAAAAGATAATAAAAATATTTATATTAATAATACATAATATGAAATTATATACATATTATTAGTAGGAAAAATATTCAATTTATTTTTTCATTTTCTATTAAATCATGTGAATATATTCTTTTTATCAGAATCAAAATTATTACTATCATAAACAACTTGATAGTGAATAGTAATGAATCAGAAGAAACGTGAGTGCATGTACTTCAAAAAAAAACAATAAAATTAATGTTAATATGAAATCATGACACTATTTTAGACAGACAGCTTTGATCAAATAGAATAGTACTTTCAAGTCACATGTTAGAACTAAATATTCATGTCTTCGTCTATAAAAACTTTATTTATAACAATCATACAAAAGTAGAAGATTCATTTGTAGAAAAAAAAATCAAACATTAAAGACAATATACATATATCATAATCAATAAATGAGTTAAAATATAGATATACATGTATATTTTGATTTATGCAAGTCAGATTTATTGATACTAACAAACAAGAGACTTGATAATTCACTATAATATACTTTTAAAAATGATGATTACATATATAATAGCATATAAACGGAAGGACTAAGCCTCATAAAGTATCTATTAATACATAATAACTACCAAAATTGCGTCTTCATGATGTAAAGAGAAGAATGTATTCCTTCCTGATTATGGTCTTATTCATTTGAAAATATACAGCAAAAAAAAATAAAACCAGATAACAACAATAATTAACTGCCGAACTACAACATATCGAGCAACTAAAGAAAAATCTCTATAGCTAACGATTTTGATAATGCCGGATTTCATCATAGAAAACTCAAAAAAAAATGACTTCCGATTTAAAGTTGAAAGGAAAATTTACCGAACATATAATTTTGTTTTTTTTTTTAAATCAGAAAGTTTTGTTCATCATAACAGTATTATAGTTGAAATAGAACAGATTCTCACTAACTCACATACATTATATAAACGTTCTAGTCAATTGGAAATTATATTAACACTTCATTTGACAATGATGAAAGTACTATTAATGTCAATGATAGTAATCAACTGTTTTCTATAATAGATCATATCGACAAGTGATAGATGATAATGGATCAGAATTAGAATTCTTGTCAGTTATAAATATTTAACAGTTCTATGCTTAGAGTTGTCGAAAATTCAAATTGAATGACAAAAATATCGAAACTCTAGAGATCATGATTATTTATTAAATGAAATGTTGATTGAGTTTTTAACAAACCTTTGAATACCGAAAGAAAGAACCTATTCTAAGTTTTATTTTATGATTTTTTTTGCTTTAGACAGACCACTTTTGATTGTTGCACTAGGTCGACACATATAATGACTTGTATCTATGGGCACTTATTCAACAGTTTTGAAATTTTCATCGAGACTATTTCAAAATCTTGCAAATCATTATTTCAAAATATTTTTATGATAATTTTAACAATAATTTTTTTTAGAATTCAGACAGTGAAAGCTTTGTTCTTCAATGAGAACAATGATAAACGATTTCACATTGTGGATCTTTATTGGTAATTACTACAAACAGGACATCTTCTTGTCAACAATTGAAAGATGCGGCAGCTTGTCATTTGGTACATCAAATGATATTATACTTTCTAATGATTTATTATTTGAATTAATTGAATGTGATGTTCGTTTTTCCCCTTTCAATCAATGACATGGTAATCAATAACAATAAATCGAGATAATTCGAATGAGAATCACTTCAAATTTTGCATATAATAATTTCTAAAATGATGCATTAACAATCTTTCACAGACTCATCAGGTTTATTATCAGATTCATCGTATAAGTATTATGACTTTTACATGAATGTATGCATCAAAAGTATCTTGTATGTCATAAGGAAAACCGTACCATGGTATCATTTCGCATTCGCGATTTATTCAAAGACTAAATGCTCTTCATTCAGGACACTACTACTTAAATAGTTAAGTAAGTTTGATATTAAAATTTCTACCCTCTTTAATAAAACTTTTATCGTGCGATATTTCGACTTGATACAGTAATTTCGTTATCTCTAAAGCAATATCTAGAAAACGTATTAAATATCTGTTTCTACTTTTTATTTCTATTCAAGTTAATCTATTTTACTATCAAAATACCAAATATTAGTCTTATACACAGTATTCTATTCAAATCTTCTATTTCCGGTAGACTCTACACAACAGGACTCCGTACAGGATGGTTTGAAATACAACAAATCGTCCCATAGGACTTTATACTCGTCAAATATTTAAAAAAAGGCTCTGAACACATCTATTGTTTTCTTAATTTTACCATAGCGAAGTTCACATTTCAGTAAGAAAGATATCTATTTCGAAACGATTAAATTCTTTGTAAAGGACGTTGGTCTCATTTCACTCGGAAATCTGATGCCATAGGATGTGGTACAATGATTATAAACTCCAGGAAGATCAACCTGATCTTCGGAGAAGCAGCGCTCATGTCGCACGTTTATTCGCCAATCGTCGATATAGCGTCTATGTAAGAATTTCATCTAATTATCAACTTCTTCCAACTACGTGTTGTATGTAAGCCGCATGATAATTATTAAAATCTCTGGTCTGTATAGAACTAGAGAACTTATGTAAGACAGACTTTCTATCGGAAACTGGTTTATTACTAATATGAAGATGTAAGCTCGTTATATCAACTGATAAGGTTGTTTATTGAATACATATATATATATATAGAATTAGATAACAACGCGATAACAACAACAAGACCATTTCATACAGAAGCGAAGATAACCGAAATCGCATCGACACTTTCACCGAAGAAAAAGGTAGGAAAAATGTATCTTTATATATATGGGAGTGACCAGTCAGTATGGTACCCCATTTTGATTCACTCCTATTGTATGGATAAAACATACTATTGTTCGGGTCATATAACAGAGGATCCTAGATAACCCTGAATTGGCCCGAACAACATCATGTTTTATCCGTACAATAGTAAAGAAATGCTGCCAACTCACACGATAAGCTAGTAGCTGTTCTCAACTATTGTACGGATAAAACATGATATTGTTCGGGCCAATTCAGGGTTATCTAGGATCCTCTGTTATATGACCCGAACAATAGTATGTTTTATCCTTACAATAGGAGTATATCAAAATGGAGTACCATACTGACTGGTCACTCCCATATATATGGAGGCATGATGACCATCGATTACATGAAAGAGGAAGACAAAATCTAATTTAGATATTAGCGACGACATGTTGTCACCTGTCGACTCTAGCAGCCTATTATACCGAACGATCTGTCGACGAGTTTTGTTCGGTTCGATTCACATGGGCGCCTCCTTAAGTTTCGCGCTCGGTAAAATACTGTTTGTGCAGTTTATGTTCTTCAAAATATAAGTTTTAATTGATACAATTAGAGAATTTCTTTTTTCTCTGTTGCTTTATAACTATAGTAACTAAATTATTAGAATTATTAAATTCAAGCAAGAGTTCTGAGATCAAGAAAACATTCTGATGAATAAAACCCAGTGCTGAATCAGCACTGCTGATTCACAATTGCGAAATATTTTCTTTATAATTATTTGAAGTCAATGTAGAAAGTTATTTTTATTTTTGTAAGTTCGACAATGTTGGACACTTTAAGGTATATTACGCATATTTTTAACTACCTCGAATATAAAATAAGTATTGATTCATTACTGTAGCCTTATTTTTTTGTTGTCACAATAAGAATCTATTGGATACAGAATGGTAAAAGATGGAATATTAACCAATTGGTTTAATCGAACTAAATAGGCACAGATATACTATTTATCTATTGTTAATATCTAACTTATTTTGGACATTTTTTATCTAGAATTAGATGATTTGATTATTAATCTATATTCGGATAATAATTTCATTGGTTCTAAAAAGTTCAATTGCGTCGAAAGAAAAAACAACCTCCTCCTCAACAGAAAAAAAAAAGCATCCGATGAATCATCATCAAACATCTGTGTATATGTATGTGTAGTATAGTTTATTTAGTTTGAATGAATGATTCATTAAAGAAACGAATAATAGTTATAATTTACGTTCGTTGAAGTATTACAGACACCTGGAATGAATGAGTAAATGTTTTCGAATGTATTTTGCATGATCAAACTTTTCGCTTAAATTTAATTTATAAATTATTATTTGCATTCACATAAAAAAAAACGATGTTTTTCAATAACAGTTATATGCCACAACGATCATCAAGTGAACAATGTCTTGCAACATCAGCACCACCAAATGTTGGTCCTTCTCAAATCTTACCATTTCTTTATTTGGGTTCACAGGAAGATGTTTTATCAACTAAAACAATGCAGGTAAATATTAAACAAGTTTTTTCTAATGTTCTCTTGTCACATGTGTGTGTGTGTGTGTTTGTTTATGTTTTGTTTTTCGTTTTCTATAGGATAATCATATAACACATGTTATCAATGTCAGTATATCAGGTCAGCGAGCACCTTTTCTTGATGAAAATGATGCTGAACATTTTCTCCGAATACCTGTTAATGATTGTCTCAATGCACAATTATTACCGTACTTTGATCAAGCATATTCTTTCATTGGTAAATTTCACTTTTCTTTTTCCTTTTTTTTTTTTCTTCCGAAAAACAGTATTCCTATAGTCGATGTGTTCTCTCTTGTGAAATATGTTTCGCCATGCGATAAGATAATTTCATGTGGTGGAATACTTTTCATGATGAGAAAACATCACCTATAATGTTACCGCATATTCACCGTGAAATAATTGCTACAAGCAGACCCAAAAGACATAATTTATTTTCTTCCTTTTTAGAAAAAGCTCGACT